CGCTCGCACCGATTTTGGGGTCCCCAGAGGATGTCATCCATAAAAATAAAAAAAAGTGTGGCCTTATTTATACAAGTTATTTTATGACGGACACTGAAGAAACTCTCTCAAAAAAGTTTTTACAAATTTTATTCGTACACATCGGTTTTTGCTTTGTTCATCTTTGGTTGGCATTTTTAAGTCTGTTCTAATCACAAAAAAAAGACGGTCATCAACTTTATTCTCCATCTAATTATGTATTGGTCTGGTTACCAAAGATATCTCACCAAAGTAGTGTCCCAGTATCGGCAGATGAGGAGGTCCTGGCGGCAGTTTGTACTTCGTCCTCTGTAGATATGACATCACCAACAGGAATATCGCGATCCCGACCAAGACGGTCTTCACAGTAAGTAAACTCAACAAACTCAGAAGGTACATCTCTCCTGTGTGCTATCTCCTGGAATAAATTCTTTAAAGGTAACTTATGTTAAATTCCTTAAAAGGCCTTTTATTCATTTAGTGCATGTCGAACAAAATGCCAAGCAAAATTTACAAGGACAAATTTAACAAAGTTAATTTCATTACTTTAGTGGTAAAGCCTAACTTTCGCTGTCAGTTCTGGACATAGAATTCATGAATAAACTAGATGGATAAAGAAATATAAATTTTGAATGTTGCAATATGTTATAATTATAAGAAGGTTTTAAAAACTTAAATAAATGTTGTTAGGCATTATGTTCTATGTTCTTTCAAAACCTATTTACCTATAATCGAACTCATTTACATATATCCTTGAAAGCTTTAATTTCCTCCGCCAAGGATTTAGTTTGTTTGTTAATTTGTCTGTCTGTTAGCAACATTATACAAAAATCTATGGACTAGTTTTGAACTGTTCATGATAGGTACGAAATTTGCTAAGCTAAAGGTGATCAGATTCTGATGATGACCCATTAATTAACCAATATTTAATTAAAAGTTGATTACTTGTCTTGACGGAGGTCTGCATTCTGTTAGCGCTTTTCTAGTTTATTTATATATACAAATATATATATACAAACCTTCCTTTGCTTACGTTGCCTTCAAGTACACGTCTCTGTCACGACAGTCCGCCGCCTGTTTGCCGTGTAACACTCCCTGTGCTACAGTATTATTCAGGTCCTAGCTGTCTGGGGGCCTTGTCCTCAAGTCATTAAGATAAGTTACGTAACGACAGGTTGAAAAATTCACATGCTACTTTTGCGCGCCGTTGCTAGGTCAAACTTGCAGGCCTAGTTACAAGCTTAGCTCCCAGCAGCATTATACATGATTCGTTTTATTAATCTAATTTATACTATCGTTAGTTTTCATTCTTTCTATTTCTATTTTTCTTCATCTATCATTTTATTTTACAGTAATCGACCCACTAGTAGTTCAAACCTTGCGGAAGTGGTACATCAGCTGATAATTTACTGCGTGAGTCGAAATTTGGTAGTAAAGTGTTTGTTTCGATAAGAGTATACGTTTACTTAGACTAGGCTCCCATGCCTAGATCGACCTAACTGGATCGACCCATCTCCAAGAGGTTTCTCACTAAATTGTTTTTAGCTTAAACGGCTTATATGTCTGGCACGCCTTCTGAAGCCGCTAAACGATAGTAAATTACCCTCTAACAGTTTCAGTGGGCGTGCGAGATATCTAAGCCGCTTAAGTTGATAGCAATTTAGTGAGAAACCCCTTGGAGATAGATTGATCCAAAGTTAGTACGATAGTCTCTGGGAATGGTGTCTTATTCCCCTTGTACATGATATTGTATACCCATGATCTTATGTCCCAAATAGGCCTACATAAAGCTGCAGTTTTTTAGACAATCAAAAATCCTGGCCCTTCACCAAAGGGCCTCTGTCGCAAGATTGTCTCATTGAGAGTAAACACGTTAAGTGTATTTTAAGTAGGCCTATTATTACGTTAGATGTTTATTGTTATACTGAATATGTCTTTTTGAAGGCGCGTAGGACGCAAATTTTACACGAAATTGATTTTTTTATTATTACACAAAAGGCAGTGAAAAAACATTTCACCGAATGGAAAGTTCAAAATGAGGTACTCGGATGTTTTGTGATCTGGATTTTTATTGCTTATCCATCATTTTATTTTACAACTATTATTTACTTTGCTTG